TACTATGACTACTGCTACTGCTACGATTTCTACAGAAGCGGAGGCTCTGGGGCCTGCGTTTTTGCAACCCACTATGTTCAGTGGTTTGTATGTTTCGAGTGGTTGGGTTCTGTGTCAGTTGTTCGTTCGTTTGGTCACGTGCATGCATGTTTTGTTTCCAACTACAACATCAAATCTCAGGTGTTGCAAACCACGAGGTCTGTTTACAAGCACAGGGTCTGTTTACACGCGCGCACACACACACAGCGTTTCGGTATACCGGAATTCGTTGGATTGTTCATCGTCATGTGCCTCGTTCTCCTAGACGTTTATTATATGAAGCGAGAGCTAGATGTTTAACTCTTGTCTGATACGTGCTGGTTGTTTGTTTGTTCGTATTCATCACATTATGTCGGAGGGGGGGATGCAGGGCAGGGGGGCCAGGAGTGTTGGATTGATGTTCCGAGACCCCCCCCGCCCCAGCAACAGCATCGCGCGCGCCACTGACTCCAAGCAACAAGTTCACAAACCTCACCTTATTGCAAACGCTGCACAGTGATACATTGATACGAAGGACTTTCTCCGTGACTAAGACCTTGTTTGACTGAGAAAACTATGAAACCACAGGTATTTGCGATGTGTCTGCCTATGGAAAACAAAATGCTATGTGGTCCACTGTTTCTGAACACCTGGCTTGTGCCTTGCTTATATAAACAAATGAATTGTCCATAAACACATGGGTTACTTATGTGGAATTGGTGCATATGTGTGTATGCCTGTCTTCCCGTGTAGACACAAGTGACACAAGTGCTGTTGCTACATAGCTCCGAGGTCCAGTCTTCGCGGCCATCTTTACTATAGTAGAGAACAGAGGGACATGAAGGGATTGCATATCAAACCAAAGAGATTTCTGATACGGATACTTGCGGATATGGAAGCCATGCAAGAGCATGCAAGGGCCTGGACCACCGGGATTCGTGGAGCTTCATCATTCCCCAAGCGAGGCCTCAGCGGCAGGCCACACAAAACCAAATGTCATACTAATCCAGATACTTGGCATCTTGGATTGTAGGTTGTGGGTAATAGCCAATGATATGGCACCTGTAGCAGTTAGCAGGACACGAACATGCGCACAAGCAGGATTTGAGTCAATGAAGACAAGTAGCAAACTTGTTAACCATGGGCAGCTTCTGTACTTTTGATCCCCTGACAGTCACACATGCTAATACACATAGTGTATCCACTCACACTTGTTGACAGGCAGTACCCAGGACTGGTCTGAACACCTATTTCGAATCTTGCGCATCTTGCCAAATAATTACGCTAATTCAGAACTCGCAAACAACCAAACACTGCATGCCAAAGCAGATGTGATGCGTTGAGTTCTGGTGTTGGGTGGAACGGCTGCTAAGACGAAAAAATCTTGCAGGGATAAGATATACGGCTCCGTCAGGGACGTGTCGAATTTATGCGGCCTATATACCCCAAGACTTGGTTTGATAAAATAAAGACGACACGGTATTCACGGTGTTTGCTGCTCGTGACAGGGAGGAAGCATTTTGAATACGTAGCCATTCAATGCCGCAGTTTCGTGCCCATTCACGTCTGAGTATGCGCAGGCTAAACCTGACCTTGAAAGCATTTCTCAGGAATAGAAGTAAACGCTACTTTGTGGTGTAATGCTGCGTGTACCTTAAGAAGTGTTTGAGGTTGATTAGAATTAGAATGTAGATATGATAGAAGTGTTTCTCCAAAATTCCAAGACCCCACAGCAGCCTATATTTACCACCACCACGACTGCCACTGCTGCCGCTACTATTACTACTTACTTTTTCTGTTACTATCGCTGTTGCTAGTGCTAACGAACAGTTACTTTCAGATCTAACCGCAGCAGCATGCGCCAGCAGCAGCAGCAGCTGCTGCAGCAAATTGCACCCAGTAGCAGTGGCGGCAAAAGCCGCAAGCGACGGCACAAACAGCAGCAGCAGCAACAGCACCGGCACCAGCACCAGCAGCCGGAAAAACATAGGAGCTAAACAAAGTTCACAAAAGGCACAAAAAGAAAGTGGCACCCAAAACATCAAGAATAAATTGGCTGAGCCAGCGTACCAACTTGCAGTTGAACTAAACCGGTCATGGTTTTGGCCGAAGAGCCCCGGCAGGTAGCTTCAAGAAAGATTCACGACGACTGTCCCTTAATAAAGAGTGCACTGCAGCAACCACCATGGCCAATCATCCAGCCCTTGGCACCATTCTTGCTGTTCACGTTCACTGCTTGAAGAGAGCGGGATCTCCCAAGATATCATCGATCTCTGTGGTGTCACCGTCCCTCACTGGATTTGCAGTGCTTCGTTTCTGGCGACCCGACACCGCAAAAAGTGAAATGGTGGGTGTCAAAGCTATTGCACTACTTGCTATCATGAGCACCACTGTTGCTTCCACTGTTATCTTCTTGCTATTTATATTACAGAGAATGGCTGCTTAACTCAGCCCAAAGCAATGCCGATTCCGTCCATTCCGAAACCCCAAGCCCTAAACCATTTCTTTGTGCGGGAATGAGAGTCAAAACCGTCAGGGGCTGAAACAGTTGACAAGCTCGCCCATAATTGGGCTGTCGGTAGCCGACACAGAATGCAACCGGAAAAGAGGGAGTGGTTAGGAAAAGAACTCGAACCCTAAACCCCACGCAAGGATTGCTCAATGGCTCCTGCGCGCTGCTGCATTCCGTGAAGAGGTTCATGCAGGGAGGGAGGTGTCTGGCAGCGGGTGCCTGACTGCAGCGCGCAAGTGCACCGGCTCAGCTTACGTTCAGGAAGATAGTGCCCAGCAATTTGAAGTTCAGCCCAATAGCCTAAGAAGCGAGAAGCTAAGTCGCCCATAAGCAGTCAAACAAGCTGATTGCTATGCAAACTTTAGGTCTTTCAGGTTTCGCATTTCGCAACGGTTTGTTTACTTGCAAACAACAAGGTTGAGAATTGTGCGTGCCTTGTCTGGGGTGGGAAGCAAGGACCGACCCGGAAAGATTCGATTCCCGTTCGCTGATCATCGATGATTTCAACTTCAGCTTCTTTGGCTCGCGCGAGTTCTTTCTTGCACAGGGCTCTGTATGCAAAGATCGGCTGGGGCCGGTGAAATTGCACGAGGCGGGGCTTTCTGCACCGTCCCCAACAAGTTTGAAGACTTTTGAAGGCTTCCCCCCACCCAGAGGTGCCGAAAGAGGCGGCCGCCAAGGCAGAACTTCTACGACAGCGTTCAGTTGTCAAGCAGCTTAGTGACAAGCTTGACGGAGCTGCAAAGAAGCGGACACAGCCATCGCAGTCCCAGCGGGCAGTCCCTGGAGACTTGTGTTTTCCACACGGGTTGGTCCCCATCAAGAGTAAAGTGGTCTTCTTTTGTTTTCGGTGCTTCGTTGGTTTTGTGTGGCTCAGCAATCTTCAGGAGATGTGGAAGTTTCGCCGATGGCAGAGCTACACATGTTCCCGGAGGTGTCGGACGATATCTCCGCACCATGGAAGGTTCTGATTGTTCCCAGGGTCACAGAAGTTTTTGGAAAAACCATGTATCTTTGCCAGCCAGCCTCGGATCGCTTTGCGCAGAGCTGCGTCGCGGAATTGGCTTTCGAAGACTTACCTTTCCGACCACTGCGATCAACACCCTTGGATCTCTGGAGGCATAAGGACATGCGTAGATCGACTCCGCATCATTTGGTGATCGCTGCCGAGTTGATATTGCTGGTGATTCTCTTGGCGCTGCCTTTGATTGGCCTTGCCGCAGGCTTGGAGGGACTTCGCCTCTTCCAGCAACCCTCGGCCAACTGTCTGCAGGCTTCTGACCTCTTGAAGGAGCTTAAAGTTCCAGGAACTTTTCGCCTCACCCACCATGTCCACCTCTGTGAGGATGCTAACTCAGAGCTTCCTGCAGAAGAGCTGGAGGCCGGGGCTGAAATACGAATTTTGCAGCTCCGGGTCATTGACCGCAGCAGTTGGCTGACAGCAGCCCGAGCCCTTGACTGGCAAGAACTTCAGCAGCGCCTTCGTGGGATCCATCCGCAGGCACTCTGGGCCCAGATGGAGCTGGATGGACAGAAGGGTTGGGACTCTTGACCGCAGACAGTGACAATAATACATGTTCGTAGAACAACGACGATAAGGACAACACGCTGTCTTGGAACTTTTGAGGCACCCAATCCTGAAATATCGTGAAGTATGTACCCTTGCTGGTTGTTACAAGTTACAACTAATGAAAGAGGACACTGGCCCCCCGATAGGGGATCTTCACCGAGGCAATGTGCTGTGGGCTTCGGGACCGAAAGCTCAAACAGGACTGCGCAGAGAACCTCGAAAAGAAAACCAGGCACCACTCGCATCGCAAGTATAAACGAGATGCTGAACTGTCAAAGAGCTACCACGAAAACATTTGAACATACCATGCCCGCATGATGCCATGTCACCGAGCGCAGTGTGTTGTCCTTCTGGCCGGTGTTGTTAGTGCAAGCCCACACGGCCCAAACAAACTCACACATGCGCCGTGGGGCTGCAGAAGCTGCTTGGAGAAGCTGCTGCTGCTAGCACCTGTTGCAGCAGTGCTTCCTACACTGCCTCCACTCACCAAGGCTACCCATCTCATTCGTATGGTTCGCCACAAATTGGCGGAGAACAGCTTGCCCGGGGCCAACATGGCCTTCATGTCGTCTGCAACGCAGAACAGAACCTTGGCCCGATGCCTCCCCGTCCAACCTGACAACGTCCTGGCCTTGACTCAAGTGATGCCGATGTGTGATGTCAGCTCACCACCTGGTTCACACCAGGCTGATCATTGCCAGTACAAGGATGCGCAGCGCGTCTTACTCTCCCGCAGACAGTCATGCGCACGGACGAGGCTTGCTGTGCCTTAGTAACTGGCGAATCTCTCTCTGCCTGCGGTGTCGGAGATTGACACAAAGGCTTCGTTGCAGAGAATGCATGAAGCCAGTAACGACACCATGACATCCTTGCACACCTCGGCGATCACGCTGTCCGCATCTTCCTGCGCCAGCCCCAATCGCAGGCCCGCAGAACAGTTGATTGCTCTGCCGTTCACTGGCATAACGATTGCCACTTCCCGCTGCGGCTGGAACGGTACTCCGGCATAATATATTTTAGTAGCAACGCTGCTACGAACAAACATTGAAAACGCTAAGCAGTAAACGATCAAGACAGCAAGCAAAACGATAAGTCATGATTATAATGATAGTACTGCCCATCATCATCACACGAATACTGATAGTAGTCAAAATGCGTGTAAGCCCTCATGAACGTAATGATGTGCATGATAGCAAAAAGAACAAGAGCAACAATGACAGCAATACCAGTCGCAATGATGTTTTAGCTGGTGGTTACGTCTTTGTGCTGATTCCAGGGTCTGACGACGTAGGAGTAACAGTCCCCATTTATTCCCACCACGGGGTCGCTGAAATGCTTATGACAAATCCCTAGAGACCCCTGGATGCCGATGCATAATCCTATGGTGGGAAACTGCCACTCAGCTGCCACTGGAAACCTATGCCCTCAGCCCTGAAGCTCGGCGAAGCATCCTCCAGGCGAAGATCTTCGATGAGGTCGAGGTTGAGAGCTACGTCGCTGGATCCGACCGCCAGGTGACTTCAACTTTGATATTTTTGAAAGTGTTGTGTTATTTGAGAACTGTGTCAGTATTGGGGTCGTTATTGTGGCTTGTCATAGCTGCTGGATTCCTGTACCGTAAGTACCAATAGTCTTGTTGATGTTGCAACCGTTGCTCTTATCGCTCCTTCTTTTTCTTGTTGTTCTTCTTGATCTTGTTATTGTAGCTGTTATGGTTGGTCTTGTCGTTATTCCTGTTGTTGTTGTTGTTGTTGT